GAGGGTTGTGACCGAATTCCAGACGATCGTCTCCACGGGTACCCACGGGGGAACTTTGAAAGGGAAAACTACAGACCCTCCCACCATCCCAGTCAGCTGGATCGCCTGGGATTTGGTGGTGCGTGCATCTAGAAACACAGAAAGAAAGAGAGAAGTTAGGAGACTGATGGAGCTGAGTTCTTTGAAGTGAGATTGATTTCTGAGTCTGATGAGATATTTCATGCAGATCGATATTATCTATCCATCTGGCCATCCATCCCAATGCACACCTCTCTATCCACATACATGTACCTCCACCTATCTACAGACTGAGTGAAACTGGGAGTTTCCATTCGCTGGGAAGCTACAATATTTCAACATTCATTTTCATTTATTCATTCTCCCTCTCCCATAATGTACTGAGAGTCATGTGACTCCCATGATGCACCACACCTCTTGGTAAGAGGGGAGCCTGTATTGCTTTATGGGACACGTAGTCCTCCAGGGAGCCCAGCCCAGAGGTGAGAATGGAGGCCCAAACTACAACTCCCATGAGGCAATGGACTGACAGGGAAATGCTATTTTAATATTTTGTTGAACTGTTTTGAAAATAAACATTTTGGGTCAATTCAACAGAACAAAATATTCTGATTTGGGTCAAAATGACCAGAAATTTTTTTTTCTTCAATTTTCAATTGGAAAAGTTGAAAGTTTTCAACAAAATTAAAGAATTCCCACAGAAAGTTTCGATTTTGCAAACATCGTTTCTTCATTCCAATGGAAAATTCTCAACCACACACACACACACACACACACACACACACCACTTACCTGTGAGGATGAGGCACATGAGCAGACAACATAGTCCCAGGATCACCATCCTAACACCAAACCAGTAGCTTCTCCAGTAGGACATTCCCAGAGAGTCCTAGGAGGAAAAGACATCTCAGGAGGGGCCGCTCTGTGGGGAAAGAGGAAAGCGAGGTGAGCATTTGGGAGCCGAACTGTTCACAAAAGAAGGCTGGAGGGTCGGATTTCCACAAGAGCTCAGCAGCACCCAAATGAAGTGGGCCAAAGTGGGAGCTGCTGGGTGCTCTTGGAGAAGTCTGGTACTTACGTACACCAGGCTGCATTTGGTCTTCTAATCGTGACCCTAATACCCTGAGCTCTGACCAGGGGCCCAGGCTGAGTGTGTCTGTAATGGGGGCTGGTAGCTGTGACTTATCAAGACATGGGAGGTCACGGAAGGACTTCACAGACTTTTCTGATCCAGCCTCTTCCAGCTATGTCAGTCCCAGTGTCTGATTCTCCTCTCATTCACCCCAGCATAAATCCAATTGCATTACTTCTCTCAGGGCAGAATGTCTCACTTTTACCACCTGTGCCTCATTTTTCTAAACTAACGAGGAAGATGACACATAAAACCAAGGTCCCTTGGGGTCATTAGAAACCCAGTGGCCATTTTTGTAAGGTTTTAGCCCTGCTGCCAAAGTCCAACGTGGGTGAGTTGCTGGGATGGGACCGACTGTTATGGACCAGGCCATAAGTCACCTGGCCTAGGAGTCGGAGCAGCTGTCAGGTCTAGTGGGCAGAGCAGGCATCCAGGTTGGGGAACAAAGCCAAGGGTCAGTATCAGAAGCAACTACCAGAGTCAGAGCCAAGGTCAGATACCAAATGGCAGAACCAAGGGTCAAGATAAGCAGGGTCAGAAGTTGGAGGCCAGGGTCGGCGCCAGGCCTGGTAACTGGCGGCGAGGCATAAGGGCAGGAAATGGAGGAGAGACAAGGGCTGAATATGGAGCAGGGTGGAAACAAGAGAGAAGGCAAAAGCAAGGTGTGGAGCAGGAAGCAGGTTGGGTGTAGCCAGAACAGGAAGCCACATTGTTGCTCAGACAAACGTCCTGTTCTTCCTTCTGGCTTAAATAGTGTGGTTGGACCAGTCAGTGGAGTCGGGCGATCCTCCAATCAGGGCTCCCGTGGGTGGAGTCTTGGCTGAGTCTAGTCCTACCAGCTTGTGGGCACTCCAGGTTTCAGCTGACACTGGGTGCAGGGGCCAGGCTGCAGAAGCAGCTATCTAGGGACTCCCAGACCTGGGTTCAAGACCTGGGACATCATTCTGAGCTGGAAGTTTGGCTCTGGAAGCTCCTGAGTTGGGATTAGGCCAGGCCCGTCTCTAGTGTTGTGATTTTCAAAGTGTTGCATGACCACTACCCAATGCTCCAGGTTCTCTAACACAATGCTCCAGGGAGCGGATTGTCATTATCCCAGAGAGAGAAAGCACCTTGTCCACACGGCAAGTCATCCGGACAGCCTAGACCAGTACACCACTTTGCCTTAGGCTAGGACCATGGCCAACCCTAGAGAAGCCTCTCTCCAGGGCAGATGAGACAGGAGGAAAAGGGGGGAAGGGGGGACTGGAGCTCAGGGGGGGCCCCCAAACTTCTCTAATGTCTGTGTAAATAAGGTCAAATGAGAGGGGGTGGGGCCTGTACCCGGGCCCCAAATTTCTCACAACCGGCCTGCCTCTCGCACATGTTGCCATCTTATGGATCACTTTGGGGGAGGGGGAAACTAGTCCCTAAACACCCACCTTCACATTCTATCTCCGCTACTTACCTG